AAAATTTTCTCTACCCCATAGGCTTAATAGTCCCCAGGAGGTCTTGATTCAACACCAACACTGGCAAAACCTGTTGCCCACAGATCTCCTTCCATTGCTCACTGCTGTACCCCTTGTAAGTAATACACTATGTGGCATGTAGCTGGTATTTACTTTTTATGCATGCATGACATATTATGGAAATTACAATTATATCAGACCCCTGACCTCTTGAAAGTACAATGAAAGATTAGTGTATCCTAAATCCTAGCAGATCTTTAAGGCCTCTAAAGCCCAGGCTCTTCCCACTAGCCCAAAGCTACTGCTATTTACCCAAACAGTTGGAGTGCCTTTGAAAAGTCTCGTCATTACTGTGCATCAACATGCAGTTAAATGAATGAAATGATTACAATTTTCTGTGCTACCAAATCCTTCCTTCTCATACTGTGCCTCATGAATGCATGCCACTGCTGGAAAATGAGCACTAACTGTGTATTCAGGAAAGTTAATGGCAAATTTGAGCGAAATGTTGCTATCTTGATAGGAAAGATTTCTTTGAGCTCTACTAAGCATTTTTGAAAGCAAATTGTGTCAGCAGACTGAAATTACATGCAAAATTACCAACACCATTCACATATGATAGGCAACCACATGTACAGATGAAACTTCTGAAACGCAGGAGATGAAGCCAAATTATGAGCTTCTGTCTAACTGCCTCCAATACGACATTCTGCTCATGGGTAAGGTGTTAAAATGCAAACGATCACAGTACATGATAGAGAGATACTTCAGGTAGCAATGGAGGCAGCGTCGTTCTAAAACTAAAGATACATGGGCAACCTCAAATTTTTAAGAAATATTTTTTTAAGATACAGTACTGCTTTTTATGAGGAGAGCCAACACTTAAGTGAACACTTGCCATGTGCCTGGTACTTACTTAGGTAAGGGTAACGTTGGTACAACATTTTTTTTAAATTGAAAATAATATTAATTTAGTTCGTTTCCCTTCCCTCAACTCTTCCAGATCCTCCCTATCTCCCACCCATTCAGATCTATACCCTTTATTGCTCTCACTATTAAAAAATATAGGAAAAATAATAAGATACAATAAAAACCATGAATATAAAAAAAAGAGCCTAAGAAAAAGCACAACAGAGAGACACATTCACACACAACAGAAAACTAAAAAAGACACAAAATTTGAAACTATACTTTATAAGCAAAAGACCTGTAAGTGGGGAAGGGGGAAGACCAGGCAAAGCATTATGAGTCAAAACAAACAAACAAAAAACAAAAACAAAAACCCAACCCAACCCAACCAACATAAACAAACAAACAAATAAATAAATAGCATCATTCCAAAAATACCATTGAGTTTGTTTTTATCAGCTATCTAACTGCTGGGCTAGGATCTGCTTTCAGTGTAGTTTCTATAGCCAGTGAGACTCTTAAAGAAAAATGTTTTCTTTTGTGAATGGTTATTAATTGGAGATAAGTTTCTGGGTTAGCGATGGGGTCGTGTTCTCCTTGCTTCCCCTCACAGTTCGGAAGCCCATGTGGCTTAGATTTGTTCAGGCCCCATGCATGCTGACAGTCTCTGTGAGGTCACATGTATGTCGATCCTGTTGTGTCTTGAAGGCCTTGTTTCCTTGCTGTCTTCCATCCCCACTGGCTCTTAAAATCTTTCCATCTCTTCCTCTGCAGTTTCCTGAGCCTGTAGAAGGGATTTGATAAAGGACTGAGTGTTCATTTAGGACTGATTGTTCCAAGGTTTCTTACTCTCTGCTTTGTCTAGTTGTAGGTCTCTATATTTATTCTCATCTACTACAGGAGGAAGCTTCGCTAACGATGGGTGAGCAATCCACTGATCTGAGTATAGGAGAATGTCTTCAGAAGTAATTTTATTGCTATGTTCCTTTTGCAGGATAGTATTTGGCTTTTCCCTAGGTCCATGGCCTTTCTAGGCTCACTTTTTTGGCCATGCAAGGAGTGTCAGGCATGGGTTCTGTTAAGCCCAGCATGAGCCCAATTTCTAGGTGTATGAGGGGAACTCAGGAGACCCGATTAATCGATGCAGTCGCAATGGAGTCACCCCTGCTGGTCAGCAAAGAGTGGCACTGGGAGAAAAAGGCCTTGGGTTTTTAAAGGACAAGGTGTGGAAATTTTTAGGGGTTGCAGTCTTGGCAATTCAGAATTGGATGAGGAAGCTATTAGTCTTCCAGTTCTGCTAAGTGTGGATGTGGCTGCAATTAAAGGTGGGGGTGGGGGAGATTAGCTCATCTTTGAAGATCCGGGCTGTGGGCTTTTGGCCAGAGGTCAGGGGCTACTCAGAAGAAGGATTGCTGCCATCTGGGTTGGTTGCTAAGAAACGCTATCTCGCAGACAAAGGTCCGGTCATTCTTTTTGCTGAGCGAAGGTCGTTGCTGTCCTCACAGATGGCCAGGGTCATATTCCTCCATTCTCTGGAAAAGTACTTAGCTTAACCTGGGCCTAAAACTCAAAAATATAAGTTTTAGAAGACATATAGGTTACATAGTTAGTCTGATCCTCTCAGGTCAGTCTCCTGGACTTGACCTGAGATCCAGTCAGTGGCTGGTTACTCCCTTAACTGTGTGCCACTACTGCACCAGTCGATCTTGAAGGCAGGTCACCACTATGGACTGAAGGGCTTGCAGCTTAGCTGGTGTTTATATTTCTCCTCTGGCAGCTCGCAGAGTACCTTCCAATACCACGAAAACTAGTTAGTAGGAGTGAAAGCTCTAGGTAGGCAACAGCTGTGTTTAAGTGTCTTGAGGAATAGGACCTTACCATCAGTTTGTGGAGAGCAACCAATAGCTTTGGCAGCAGGCTAAGTTGATTAGGGGTTTTCTTGGGGTCCTTTTGGTCAACAACTCAATTGGTTCTAATCCCTTCTTGGTACTGGAGGTTCTATTTGATGGCAAGAGAAGTCTAGTTGGGGCTTTCTCTTCCCCCATTACTTGGTGAGTAATTCTGCTACAGAATGTGTATTTTACTATATTTAGCAAATATCCCTAGCCTCTCTGCTTCCTACAAGCGATCCAACTGGACAATCTAAAATGTCTCTAGAAATGTTAAATGTTTCCTGGCAGGCAAATTTGCCCCCATTTGAAACAAACAAACAAACAAACAAATAACAAACAAACAAACAAACAAACCCTGCTTTAGCTATATAACATTAATTATGTGAAACAATTCCATGAGGGAAACTATATTCTCCAATGATTATTAGTCAGCTTTGCATTACTGTAACACAACACTTTAAATGGTCCATTAAAAAGGGGAAAAAAAGATGTAGTATAGTTCACCATTCATGAGTTTTGGCTCAGAGTTCAAGTCATTGGCCCAGCTACTTTGGGAATTTGTGGCTGTGCAGTATACTATGGAAGGGAATGTATGGACAAGGAAGCTGCTCACCCATGATGACCAAGAATCAAAGACAGAGAAGGAATTAGTCTCAGTATCATCTTCAAGGTCACACTTTCAGTGATCTAACTTCCTTCCACTGTGTTGGAGGTTAAAAGTTCCACTAGCTGGCAATAGTGCTCCAGGTTGGTGATAAAGTTTTTAATGCATGCTGTGATCCTCATCTCAACCACAGCAATGAAGACAGATGAAATAACTTGACTAAGGCCACAAAGCCACAGTGATATAGCTAGTTTGGCCCAAGGTAGCCCAACTCCATGACTTCAGAGCAAGTCCTACTTGCTGCCATATTAAGGAGACTTGATCTGTTTGTGATTTTCAGGTGTAATGCAGTGTGGTTCTGTATACCATTGCCCTTTCCAGAGCTTTTGAAAACAAACTCTCATTTATGAAGGCTAGTCAGGGATTGAAATGACAAGAAAGAAGAGGGAGGATAGCTTTTAGCTACGTGGCCTGGCTCTTTGTAAACTAAGGAATGTGTAAAGTAGAGGATTTACATATGAAAACCTAAAACCCCACAGCTCAGTAACTCATTGTGTACCACCTACAGTACTTTTAGATCAAGGTAGAGTAGACAGTATTAAGCTGCCTCCTCTCAACAGAAATATCTGGCTTACCAGCTAGTATGATTCTGTTAGATTTCTTCTTATAATTGTAGAAATACATCTTCCAAAAAGAAGATTTCATTTGCAGATGACCCTTGTTAAAATGCTAATATGCGCATTAAGCTCTATTAGTCTTCATTTAAATAAATTGATCACATTACTGAGTCATTTACCAAAGCTATTAGAAAGTAAATTACAAAACAGCAAACTTCTGAAGGCCCTGTTAGGGCAGGGAAAATGTAATTAGGGTATTGCTGAGGGAAGTCTCTTCTAGTGCTGGCAGTATGGTGTGAGATGGTTTAGGACAGAAAATGTGCTGTACAGGAGACAGGTAACGAGCTGCAGGAAGAACAATGGCATCTGCCACCAGAAACTCCGGCCCCAGGCCCTCCTGGATGCTATTCCAGTTTTCACCTCAGACATCAGCTTGAACTGACAGGTCACTCAGCATGTTTAGCAAAATCAGAGGTGCCAAAACCACCTGTCCCAGGAGACACTGCTCTGAATGGGCTGTTTGCTCTCCACAGATTGTTTTTGGAAACCCAGGTATGAATCTGTACTGTGCTCAGCTTTTCCCTGGTCCTCCTTCACCAAACACCCTGGGAGGCACTGAAACAACTTTCTGGAAGAGCGTTGAAACACACTCACTGGCTGTGGGTGCTCCCCTTTTGACTGGAAAGTTCCCATCTCACACAGGGAAGCAAAACACAGTTTTATTCCTTTTTCTCCTTACCTGAAAATAAAAGTCAGAGAGAATGAACAAGAAAATGCCTGAAAAATTACTACATAAATAGGCTTTCTACCTAGAAAGGTCTGTGAGAATTTTTCTTCAAAAAATAAAATGAAGAAGTAAAATACCACCAAAATTTAAACTAGATTATAATCAAGCATTTTAAACCTGTTCCAATTTTCAAGTATTTAATGGTAACAGAAAACTACTTTAAAATATGAACAAGTAAGGCAGACAAGGCATATGACTAATGTAAGGATTTTATTGTAAAGCTCTCAAAAGTCCGGCCACTTACAGAAAAGAAAGGAAGACAATATTGTGGTGAAAAGCCATGCGTGGTTAACTGTGAGCGAGCAGATAAACCTTCTGTACGAAGTGCTGTCAAGTTAGCAAGGGAGCCAGACATAAAGCTGTGTACACTGAGCACGCTGCCTCGTGCTTGAGGAAATCAGGGTAAACAGATATGCATATACAGCTTAGATTTCAAATACAGCACAGACTTTCCCAACTATGAGCTTCTGGAATAGTGGCCTTAGGAAATCTGCTTTGGCTAGGGATGGCAGAGGCTCCTGTGGAGAGGAAGTGAAAAGGCTGGGCATATAAACAAGGGCTGCTGGCACGTTCAAAGCGCAGGGGATAGTTCACAGAGCAAAACACAGTCCTAAGTAAATGGGTTTCAGGCAATTTCAGTGTTAAGATAACATCATTAAGAGTAGAACAGATTGTGCACAAACCCTGCTGTTTATAATTAACACGTTGCTTCCAAATACTCCCGGGCCCCTGGTAAATAGTCTTCTGCTCGCATCTACCCAGGCCAATCAGAGGATTTTCATCAGATTCCATGCTGGGCCAGCACCTGTTTGGACAAATCCAATAGAGCCAAAGAACTCCTTTCCCTGGCCAGCTGAGTAGTTGGATGAACACAGCTTGGCTTAGTCATTGTCACAGTGTCCATATGGCTTTGAACCTTGTTTTCATAAGAAATCATACAAGTATTTTATTATGTCAAAGTTCACCGTCCTAGAAACAGAAACAGATAGCATGTTAGCATCTTCAATCAATACAGCTCTGTATGACTGTAAAGCACATGGGAAGCAATTCAAAACTGGACGATGCTGTCAAATGTAACGGATTTGGAACAGCACTGATCTCTTACAATGTAACTTAAAAACCACAATTTTAAAACCATTTTTGACCACACAAAAAGTTACTTTATTAAATAAATAAACAAAAAGTTAGAGCTACTTACACAAGTTTAGATTTTATTTCAAAGCTACTTGCTTTCTGCCTAATAATCATAATAATCAGAGATGCAAAAGTATTTAAATCTTGTTTGCTTCAGAACACTGTTTATCTTCCAAAACACCTGTTTTACCATCACATAATGCACAGCTCATCTGTCCTCATTTGTAGCTTTCATTATCTTCAGTCTTTTAACAGTGGCTGACCTGTATGCACATTTCAACTAAATTTGTATGATCCAAGAATATGATACAACAGACACGATGTAGATGTATATTTTTATACTTTGGCGGCAGGCAGAATAGAATAACAGAGGAAGAAACATATAATTATTTTCCTTCCTCCAAACTCAATCTTCACTATAAATATTCAGACTTAGAGGTTTATTATTTGAATAAATGGTCAAAATAATTAGATATAATGATCTAACAATAAGTACAAAATTAAAGCCTTAAGTATTCAGTTCTGCAAAAATAATCATCCATGTGAGAACAGCCTTTTAGAGTCACTAATTGCACATTCTTACTTATTAAACTATCACCAATTATTCTTTTGTCTATCACTTTGTAATACACTTTCTAAAAAAGTTTCTATACAAATGACTGACATGCCCAATATTTTTTACAAATATGGATAGGGAACTATAGATACTGATTTTGAAAACACATTTAAAAATAGCTCGCTGTGTGAGATGCTCTGGCTGTGAGCTACCCAACACTGACTGAAGACTATCTTTCATTATAACAATGCCTCCCCGAGAAACACTTAACCTTTCTAAGCAGCAAAGAGATACCTGTTGGCATCCACAGTGATAAGACTACCAAAAATGGTCACTTTAGCTAAGATCTCTCATGCACGAAGACACAGCTGTGACACTAACATGGCTTTATTTTCATGTCCTTTTTTTCAATTACCTCTCAAATTTACTGGAAATAAAGTCCTTATAAAATGATCTTTAAAGAAAATGCCTTTCAGCCAGTACCCTGACTTATCAAGGGCCTTGATTCATCAAGTACAGTAGGCTGCACTTTCTCTTCCACATTAAGAGGGAAGGTGCAGCTGTACACCACCCTGAAATGTTCCCCTCTCATGGCTTTGAACTGTCAACAAAGTAATAAAGATTTAATGCCTTGGGTTTTTTTTTTTGGGGGGGGGGGGTTGGTTGGTTGGTTGATTCCAGGTAAAAATAAAAAGCACTAAAGAAGTTAAAAAACAACTTAAATTCCAATATTAGGAGGATCTCTGTACTCCAAAGCATTCAACAGGATAACATGATCAGTACAGGGAAACATCCACAACACTAAGAATGCATGGAGAACACAGAATCACAACTACGTTGCAGTAATCACTGGGAAAAAAAAAAAAAAAGAATAAACAAATGAAAACAATAATTGGTGATAAGACTATTTTATGTTTCAGTAATATTTTTTGTGGTTATAGCACAGCTTATACGATAAACTGTTAACAGTATAAATGGTATGATTTAAACAACCTAAGCAACTTCAAAGCACTCATTTATCGAAGATTCACTGCATTCTGTGTCTCTTTTCTGTCAGTAAGTCAACGGCAAGAAAGCAACTCCTAGTGTATAACTTCTTTTTCTTACAGATTTCCTCAGGACTGGGTGATGACTCCGTGGTTAAGAATCTGCACTGCTCTTGCAGAGGACCCCAGTTGGAGTTCCAGCACCCATACCTGGTGGCTCACGACTGCCTGCATCTCTAGCTTCAAAGAGACCCAATACCTCTGGCTTCTGAAGTTATCAGCACTCATATGCACATACTCACACACAGACAGGCACATACACGTAACTAAAAAATATACCAACAACAAAAAGTTATATGTGGTGTTCACAAAGCCCAGAAGACGGAATGCTGTGAAATTGAAGTTACAGATAATTGTGAGCTGCTAGCCATGTGGGTAATGGGAGCCAAAGCGAGGGCCTCTGCAAGGCCATCAAATGCTCTTAAGTGCTCAGCTTTCCAGTGCCCACACTGTAAGAGAGCCCAGAAAGCTCAGTGCGTGTGGCGGTTTGGGGCAGAGAGATGGAAGAAATGCTTTGGGGTGCAGGGGGTCGGAGGAGACTGCTAGCTGTGTTTGCTATTGACAAAGATTGTTATGTTCTGGAAAGACCCATCGGCCCTAAACAGCTGGGAGAAGTAAAGGGGTCTGTAAAGTAAAGGGGTCCTCTCCTCACTAACTTTCTCTCACCTACCTAGGGTTGGGAGGTTGGAAGGGAGGAAGAGGCCTAAACACTCCAAATAAAGCAGTTTTGAAAATAAGTGCTACATTACGTCTTCAGTAAATCCTGTTCTCATTCTGGGCATTAGCTAAAACATGACTCCCTGAAGGGCACAGAGTTCTCTTCAGTTCTTGCTAAAGGTTAATTTTTCCACGATAGGCCAGAAAGTCCCATCAGAGGAGGCTGGTGTCCTTGTGTAAGAAACCTGCCCTTGAGGCTCAGACTGTTCCAGTCACCACCCTTCTAACTACCTTGTCATCATTTCCTAGTTATTGAATAAAGTTAGCATCTAGTTTGGTCTCCTTTGTATCCTAAGACCCGTAAACTCACTGCATATTAGCCTTTTCATCTCTAAATAATCAGAATAAATATACTCAGAAATATTTTACCTCTCAAAACATACCCTTCAAGATATTATTTGCTCCATTTTGGGTACCTTGGACACCTAGGGACATTCAGCTTACAACTCTTCATTTTATTTTGACCTACAAATACTGAGTGTCTATGTGCTAGGATGAAACTACTGGCCCCTGGCTGGTCTGTCTTCCTTTCTGCCGAGCTCAGACTCCATGGCTCATCACACCAAAAGCTCACTTGCTAGCATCTACTCAACTCATCTGGCAAAACCCCAATATTATGTGATTTCAATTATTATTCTCTGCAGCCCTGGTATCTAGCATATGGAATGCTGCTGGAAGAGATCACAAGTCTCACAGATTGATGCCACTGTAAATTCAAGGTCAAGAATTCCAAGCCCTCTCAGCACGCTGCTTTTTCTGTGAATACGGGCTTCCATGATTCCAATATTACACATTTTCCACAGTACACGCTGCTAATGTTTCTGCCGTTAGTCACAATTCTGCCTCCTCCTTCAAGGAGAAAACAGAAGAGGTCAGGTGAGAATTTCCTCAACTTTTTTGCTACCAAGGTCAGCATCTGGCTGCACCCAGTTCAGTTCTAGCCAGAGCACACTGCTATCCAACCTGTGCTCTTCCAACTCCTTTCTACATCCCAGGCCTACAGTGCTGTGAAGAGTTTGTGTTTTAAATTAATTTTGTCTTGTGTCATTTACTTTCCTCTGTTTTCTCCCTCAGCATTTAAATAGATTCGTATCTTCAAAACAAAAACTAACTAACTAAATAAACATGTATCATACTTGTTCCTCTATCTCCTAAAGCCTAGCACAGTGTTTGTATACAATGGGATCACGAATGCTATGTGCACGAAAGAACAAAAGTCAACCCTGTGCTTTCTGCATCCACTTTCTTATCACTACTACTTGAATGGACTGAAATGTGCCTTCTGCAAGTGCTGACATTACAAAGAAGTGCTCCTCAGGAAATCAGGACCCTGATTACTCTCTTCCTTTAAGTACCCTTAGTTTAAAGGCATGTGAGATGCCTACACACATGTAACTACTTTATTTACTTATGCTATATCATGACATCTTCCCTATGTTTTTTCCTTCTTAATATCTCCACAGTGTCTCTCCTAAAAAGTAAATTATTGATCAATTTAATAATTTATTCTTTGCTACTTGCTGACAAGCTGTCATGGTTTTGCTCAACTTGAGACAAACTAGAGTGATTGGGAAAGAGGAAATCTCAACTGGGAAAAATGCTTCCACCAGATTGGTCTATAAATAAGCGTGTGGAGTATTTATTGGTTTTTTGATTAATGATTGAGATGGGTGGGCCCAGTCCACTGTGACTGATGCCACCCATAGGCAGGTAGTCCTGGGTATAAAAAAGTAATGAATGAGTCATGGAAAGGAGGCCAGTAAGAAGAGCACATGGTCTCTGCATGAGCTCCTGCCTCTAGGTTCCTGCCCTGCCTGAGTTCCTGACTTGGCTTCTTTCAGTGATGGACTGTGATCAGGACTGTGAGCCAAATAAACCCTCTCCTTCTCAAGTGGCTTTTGGCCATGATCTTTCTCACAGCAACAGAAAGCAAATTAGGGCAGTCACAGATGCCTGAAAGCAGGACCATTGACCTCCCTGATAACTCCCACAAGGACCTCCTCCTTCTACCATACATCAATTTTGAATGAGACTGTCTTCTTCACTCACTTTTTCCTGATGTCATCTCTGAAACAAATCCATATGGTTCCCTCCTACCTAAGGTTTTACTGATACTGGAAAGTACAAGAGTAGCTGCAATATTTGTATAGGACATACTAAGACTAAGGCATTGCACCAGGCCTGATGGCAGGGCAGCTATAGACATAGCGATATTCTGTGCTTTCAGTTTCACAGACCAAGTTTCAGAAAGATGAACTCTAATTATTCAGCTGTTTAAACTGATAAACACATTATATATCCAAATGGCATTTTCCCAAATATAGAGGAAGTGGTGAGGATAGCTACGTATGTCTGATAAGGCTTTAGAAATAGAAGTTCACACTGAGATACAAAGACTAAATGTTGAGCAGAAGTGGAGAAACACTGCAGTCAAGAAGTAGAAAGCAAAATGGTGAACATAAAAAATTAGAAAAGGCAAGTGTGGCTCAAGTGTGAGCCCACAAGGGCAAGAGGCATATAGTGTATAGGAAAATACAGAAGAATTGCTTTTAGGAGAGAGAAGTTAAATTTTTATAGATTGTCCTGACTGCAGTGAAGACAGAGGGTGGGTTATAAGGAGATAAGAATAAATTAGTTAGGAGGTTACTAATGAATGAGACAATGTCATAAAGTGATAAAGTCATGATTCATTACCTATAGGAAGACTACAGAAACAGTGAGTAGACATGGACAGTATGGACTAAAAAAAAATAATAATACTAACAAGATCACTGTCAAATTCTAGGCCTCTGCAACATGGCAGCCTGCAGTGCTAACTGCTGAAGCAGGAAATGCTGGAAGAAAAGACAAAAGATGAACCTTTCCTTTCTTGTTTGTGTGTGGAGACAGGTTAGAATTTCTGAGTTCAGTCTTGAGTTAGACTGTAATGTCTGGTAAAGGTCAAAAATATGAAATATGAAAAAGGGATGGCCTTTAACAAGAAAGGGACTTACTGATGGTTGTTGAAGTTGTAGGTGTAGCTAAAACTGCCTAGGAAAAAGTGTTTTATGAGGAAAGATGCCAGGACCAAGCCTCCAGGAACAGCTCCATTTAAAGGTCAGGTGGGAGAGCAGGCTGGCAAATGAGCCTGAACAAAACCAGTCAAAGAGCAAAGACAAAAAGCAGCACCATGGCATCATGGTTTCTGGAAGAGAGCTTAAAGAACAGAGTGGTCCTCCCGCTGGGACTCCTTCCCTTACATTTCAAAGAAGGGGAGACCTCCCATGGGCATCAACCCACATTGGCCTATCAAGTAGGACTGGGTGCATCTTCTTCTATTGAGGCTACACAAGGCTGCCCAGTTAGGGGAAAGGGACTCAAGGGCAGGCAACAGAGTCAGATAGCTTCCACACCTGCTCTTAGAACTCCCACATCAGGACCAAGCTTTGTGCCTGTTACATATGTATCAAGGGCTTACAGACTTAGAAGAAAGGAGTGAGGGAAACTTCCTACTATAAAAATTAATAAAAATAAGAAAAAAATAATTAAATGGTCAGTGGTGTTAACTGCCCCTGAAAAACAAGTAGCCTGAGACGAATGGGCTCTAGGAAAATGGAGGAGGAGGAATTCTGAGCACAGGTGAAAAAGTCCTTAGGTAGGGAGAGCCCTATCCCTACCATATACACACACAGGAGAGAAAATAAAGAAGAACAGCACCAGTAATGGCACTGGAGGGTTCTGAACTAATGGCTTTAATATTTTGGGAATGAAGAATGGAAAGAGGATCACAAACACTAGGATTTGTGGTTTAAATAAAGTCAAGAATCTGGCAGGCAGGAGAGAATGCTATTTAAAAAGCCACACACTTTATTCCTCAACACCAAAATTGTCATGACTGGAAGCCTGAAGCAGGGTAATCATTCCTAAGGAGAACACAGAAGTGATGTACATTAGCAGTCCTGAAGGTGGGGCAGTGCAGTATGGAAGTGAAAATGAGGAGGAGGAGGAGGAAGAGAAGGAGCTCACAGAAATGATCTTGTGAAATGAAACAGTCTCAAGTACACAGCTTGGAGGGAAGGAATTACTGTCACTAGAGACAACTGCAGGGGCAGTAGTATAACCAGAGCCAGGTTTTAGTTAAGAAGTAAGGAAGATAATTGGGAGAATGTTGTACACATGGGGTGGAGAGAGAAACAAGAGGTCAAGTCAGCACAAAAGGAGCATAAGATGTTACCTAAGAGTAGAAGAGAGCAGATGTGGGAAGATAGTGTTTTATGGTCTAAAGTGTCATGTTTTAATATGAGCTTTCATATCCAATGGTCTCTTAAATCCCACTTTCCTATGGTATTTCAGTAATTTAATTTCTGTCATCTAACATACTAGCTACTACTTCTAATTTTACATCACTGGCAAACTGGATTAGAGGATGCTACAATTGAACTAATTCATTCCTGTCACTTAAGTCATCATTTCTTGTTTAAATGATTTTGTATTCTATTAGAAAGGATATTCTTGCATTGAGAATATTATTTGCATAACTGTGACATTTTTACATTAAAAGGTAATCTACACTTACCGTGCAATAGCTCTGATGAAATCTAGAGAAACTGTGCATTTGTATTTTGGTGCATCAAGCTGATCATCATGACCAACTAGGGTTAACAACTGTAGAGTCACTAGAGAGGTAATCTAAAAATGAAAGAATATTTTTATGAGAAAATTTAATAAGACTAAATAATACCTTTATTTATTTACAGTGGTATTAATAAAGAAATAAATGAATCCACAAAGCATACAAGTAGTTTTAGATTTGTACATGCAAATTTGCACATGTTTAAAAACCTAGTTTAACAATGAAAGGCACTTGCTAAAGAGACCTAATTTGTTCACAGATAATTTAAAATATTCATAGCATTTTCTCACATAAACATTATTTGTGTGTGTGTGCATGTGCAGGACAAATATAAAGTCACTCTTCAAGAATGATGCACCTTTATATTTTTTGAGACAGGGTCTCTCCTCTTAGGACCCAAGGCTCCTCAGTATAGCTACGTTGGTAAGCTAGTGAGATCCAGGGATCTGCCTCTCTCTGTGTCCCAGGCTCTGAGATCATAAATGTGTGCCACCACACTCTACTTCTCATATGTGTGCTGATAATCAAATCCAGGCCCTCATACTTGCAAGCATTTTACTAAGTGAGCGAAGTCCTGTCCTAAGTAGAACTTTAAATGAGTGGGAAAAGTTAAAGAGAGTCTCCCATGGTAAAATTAACTGCAACCCTTTCTACTTTCTATATATGATTTACTTCCCAAAACACTTAAACATTTTCCACAACTCCCTTTATTATTGAAGACAGATCTCCTTTGTATACTTTGCCACTCATTTCCTTATATTTCTTATAACTTCTTTATTCACTTCATCCACAATTTTCACAGAAAAACATAATAAGAGTCTTTAACTTAGCTAGGTTAAAATTTCAAAAATAATTTCAGATATCTAAGTTCATACTTTCAGGACAGTCTCAGTGACTGCGCAAAGGCTTGGAACAAGTAAACCACTTTGACATCATTTTCAGTTGTACCATTTATAAACTAATCATGTAAACTGTGCAAAAGCATAATATCATTTCAAGATTTAACAGCTAAAAGTCAGTTCTAAAATATGAGTACAATGATCACTCAATTTTTAGGAAGATAAAAGACTTATTATTTAAGAAAGCTAATATTAAAAAATTTCAAACCTAAAGGAAATAATTCACCTAGACTTGCCTTTGTATGAAAAAGGCATAACTTTAGGGGTTGTTCATTCCACAAGCTTTTCATATAAGCACTACTACTAACATACAAGTACAAAGTTCAGGAAAACGACTGTTACATAAAATAGTATATAAGTATACTGACACCTTAAGAGCACCTTCCCACTTTATTAAAGTGTTGCTGGAGTAAAATGAGAACATACCAATTTATGGGCTCAGCACCTTGAATCTCAACCGCACTAATTTAAAATTCTAAATCAAAACCTATAGAAAAATAATGAAACCTTTAGAAAATTATTCCTTTTCATGCATAAAAAAAGAATATCTACCTTCTCCATTATTCCATCCTTAAGTAATTTTTATTTTAAATGATATATCCTGAGGACTTACTCTTGAATGTGAACATTCAAAGACAATATCACAAAACTAATATTACAGAAAAGACTTTTTCTTGCGTAACTTCAAATATTCATGACCACCCAAGAAGCCCAGCTTTCCATGTTAAGACCACAGCTAGATAGCTTGATGCAGCCAGTGTGTACATTTCAGATGGTTCTAGACACGGGCTCCCCCCACCCCCCCGCTGACTACTCCAGCACACATGTACAGGCATGCATAAGACAAAGACAGGATGGCCTTTCCCATCCAGCTCTTCAGCATTCAGTGACAAATATGACACCCAAGAAAGAGACACATGAGCGTCATTCTTGTCATTATGCTCCTAGGAACAGAAATTGATTCATATAGTCTCTAGTTTCAGCAAAGAAAAGTAAGACAGAAGAGTACATAACTATAAATTAACATCTTAGGATTTAATCTTTGTTGGAGAAAAGCTCCCTAAACAATAACAAAACACACTTTACTTAAACAATATGTAATCTATTTTTAGCACTTCTAGTTAACAGAAGGCTTGTCATTCAAGTGAGCTTTGAATTACCCTGAACATATTTCATAATCAAATACTAACAAAGGCTTACAGGGTTTGGAAAATGATAACCATGTTGGCACTGGAAAAGAAGCTTCCAGTTCCCATAAGATGACATAGGTTCAGATACAATGCTTCTCCCTGTTGAGCACAATTAGAAATCTGGCTATAACACAGGAGTCAACAAAGGAGGCTGGGCAACAGGGAAGTACAGTGGATAATGCAGAGACACCAGGCCTTAAGGAACAATACAGAGATAAAAAGATGGAAAGTCTTTGCTCAACAATAGAGGGTAGGCCAGGCCTCCCACTATCAGTGTGCAAGCCAGCAACACAAGATTTATGGCCAGCCTCATTCTCCCCATGGACAGAAGGCGGTAGCTGTGAAAATGAACTGAGCAGTCTGTGTCTGGCAAAACTATCATTTGCAAATGAAGTGGAAATAGACATTCTTAAACAAGAGAAAATTAGGGAATCTGCCACTGCCAGACCACCTTTAAAGAACAGCCAAGGGAAATTCTTCAAACAAAAGTCTACAAGGAGCCCTGGGCATCAAAAAGAAGAACATCAGAGAGCAGATAGGTAGAAAAATGTAACACTTCCTGGTGAGTCTAATAGCTGATGAAAAATTTTAGCAGCATCATATATTCAAAGCAATGCTATTTAATCAGTGTAAATAGTAAATGACCAGCTTCATAAGAAAACCTGCACACCAAACTGCAGAGTAGCCTCATTTATAAGAGCCAAAACAACAACCTCCAACTAAAACACCTGAAAGAAGGCATGTGTCCAATGGGTTAATGTTTAAACCCTGGCACAGTCACATCAGAGTCCTAAGCAATAGAAACAAAGGGGCTGTGGAGACTGCTCAGTGGGCAAAGTGCTCGTTGCCAAGCATAAGAAGCCTGAGAGCTGGTTAGGACTCTCCAACACCCACATAAAAAGCCAGCACAGCAATGTGCATCTGCTGTTCCATCTCTGGGGATTGTAAAGACAAGAGGATCCCAAAAGTTTGATGGTCAGCTAGTCTAGGCAACTGGTGAGAGATCCTGCCTCAGAGGAGAGGCCCAACACTGACTTCTGCCATGCACACCTACACACATATGCGAAAGTACACATACACATGGGATCAAACTACTGATACATGAAAGATAAATCTCAGCTACCATGGACTGGGGAAGGAAAGGGAAATTTAAGGATATAGCTATCAACAGAAAATAGCGTTGATCCTTACAATATTGAAAACAGTTTGTACTTTGATGGTGGTGATGAATACACAAACATACAAAGGGGAAATATTTTCCTATGACCAAAGATGCAAAGATGCTCATAAAGATGAACAGCTGCAGGGGCTGGAGGAGTGCAGGGTTTGAGCCTTAGTATTTTAGAAAGCAGTGACCTCCCACCCCCCAGCCCACCTGCCCCACAGCCCACAACAACAACCCCAAACGCACAGAAGTGATGTGTGTGAAGTGAAGCAACTGGAATAAGATCAGTGGCTGCATCGGCGCCACCTTCCTGACTGGGGTGCTTTTAGCTGGACATTTTGCAAAACGTCCCTGCTGGGGGAAATTAGGGAAGGACACACAGAAGACAAGGTCTAGATCACCTTTTACAACTGTGGGGGACTTACATTAGCTAGAAAAAAAGCTGAATGAAGAAATAAACAGTGACAGAGTGTTCAGAGGCGCTAAAAACCTTTATCTTTATTTCAAAATGTTTAAGTTATCTATGAAGCTACAAAAAGGTTTTTAAATTAAAACATGCTGGACCTATACTTACCAGGTTTTTTAAAAAAACATTCTGATACAATATGGTCCTAAGTGGGAAAGTCAGAGAAGCAATCATTTGAACAGTGATCTACCACTGGAGTAGGTTTTTAAACACAGAAAGATTTTCTCCTTAAAGGAACACAGGTAGTTATGGTTTTAAAGCTGGCCACAAGCAACAGTTTCATTCTATAAGCCTGTATTGGTTTTCACAAATTTGCCAGAGATCCAGAGCTTGTAAAACATTATATCTTAATACTGTAGGAGGATTACAGGCAACCCCACCCTGACTGAGTTTTCCCCCCAACTCTTATCTTTTATGTCTATTCTTCAAAATGGCAAAAGTTCTGACTGTTTAAAAGCTATAGAAACCACTTACATGTTGAGTATATTAAGGACATTTTTCTAGTGTAAAAACAATTGCAAAAGAAAACTCTGGGAGCTGGAGAGATGGCTTGGAGGTCAAGGGCACCTGGTACTCTTACAGAGGGCCCAGGTTCAGTTCCAAGCACCACACTGTGTGGTGCACAACCCGTAACTCCAGTTTCAGGGACCACATTCTCTCTTCTGGTGTCTGTACTAGAAAGTACACCATAAAAAGGGACGGGCATTTTCAGTCCCCAATCAGCCACCCAAGGCCAACTAATAACTTCACAATTACTTAACAGGGAAATCCAATGAATGTAACATATATGACAACCTAGAGGTTTATTAGAAACATTTCAGAGTTCTTACAACAAAATTCCAAGGTAAGCATTTCATGCCAGGACTACATACAGAGTTTAGCCAAAACAACGTCTGACTTTAGGTGCTGCTGACTACTGAAAAATGGTTTGCTAACTAAGACAATTACTATTGTTTACAAAAAGACCTCAGTCTTGGCCTTTTTTTTTTTTTTAATCTTTTCTTCTCTTACACTCGTCCTAGAATAAACGTACATGTAAAGGTATTGAGTCATTCCTCAGGACCTAATCAAGAGATGGAGAAAAAGAGCTATGAGAACTACCTACTAATATTAATAACCATGAAATATTAGTAGTGCGGACACTGGAATTTGTCACTTATCTAGGCTCTATGCAGGCACTGTGCTACATTTCGTTAGGTCTTACAATTCCCCCTAAATACTTAAGATGGCACCTTCTTTCCAGATAAGTAAATAACCCCAGAGGTTAGTAAACTGCTGATGCTACTGGGCTAAGAGCCCAGAGGCACTGGATTTGGGTGTTGTAGGATCTGTCTGG